CTCTGCAGGATCAACTACAGAATGTTCTTGCACAAATGTTTTAGTTCTTGCTGCAATATGAGATTTCACAATGGAAGGCAGTCCCCACTCTGTGCTGAGATGTCTTTGGCTGTGCAGCCTTCCAAAGCAATCTGTGTGACTGTCCAGTACATCACCTCCAAACACACTTGGGTCCATAGAGTTTGGGTATTTCTGCATTACTGCTGTTGTAACAGTTTCCAATGGGTGGTCAAAGATGCGCTCTGAAGTCCAGATCTTCATGGTGCTGGCTGCTTGCACAATGTCTCTGGTGTTCACTTTTTTTCTTTTTTTAAAGATTTATTTTATTTATCTGAGAGAGAGAGAGAGAGAAAACACGAGTAGGAGGGGCAGAAGGAGGGAGAGAATCTCAAGCAGACCCAGTGAGCGCGGAGCCCATCATGGACCTGATCCCACCATGCCGAGATCATGATCTGAGCTGAAACCGGAAGTCAGATTTTGTTTTATTTTGTTGCTACTTCTTAGGTATTCATTCATATGTGAGGCCATCTGTGCCTGGAGCTTCCTTCATGGGAAGATTTCTTTCTTTCTCTCTTTCTGTCTCTCTCTTGTTAAGGAAGCTCTGCGCCCAACATGGGGCTTGAACTCAAAACCTTGAGATTGATACCTGATCTGTAACATGTCTTTGTGCATGTATTAGCTGTAACTTGCTCTTTTGCTTTAAAAAAAAAAGGAAAAAACTAAGGAATTTTTTTAAACTCTTTTCTAATGTATACTATTTAGGATTTGTTTTTTTCTAAGCGTAACTTCTTAGCTGTGTCTCACAGGTTTTGGCATGTCATATTTTTGATAATTCACTTAAAAAAATAATCTAGGGGTACGGGGGTGGCTCAGTCGGTTAAGCGTCCAGCTCTTGCTCTCAGCTCAGGTCATGGTCTCAGGGTCATGGGAATGAGCTGCGTGTTGGGCTCCATGCTCAGCGGGGAGTCAGCTTGAGATTCTCTCTCCCTCTGCCCTTCCCCACCCCACTCACAGGCATGTGGGCACACTCTCTCAAATAGTAAATAAATTAAAAAAAAAATTCTCTAATCTCTATATAGAAATATATCTCTTAAATAAATATAACAAGAAATATATCTTTTAATCTGTAAACATTGTGAAATTTTCTAGTTAATCTTTTTCTTACTGATTGTTATGTTAAACACTGCAAAAAGAATGTTCTCCTTATGATATCAAATCTTTGAAGTTGTTGAAATCTGCTTTGTGTCCCAGACTGTTGTCAATTAAGAACAGAAGGTCTGTGTGAATCTGAAAAATATATATATATTGTAGTTTGGGAGTGCATTTTCTCCTTTGAAGGTAATGTTTCATTTCTCTCTGGCTGCTTTTAAGGTTTACCATTTATATTCAGTTTTTCTCTTAATTTTTAGTTCTCTCGTTGAAACTCTCGATCTGGCCATCTTTTTCCCTTTATCATTTTTTTTTTAAATTATAGTTGACACACAATGTTACATTAGTTTCAGGTGTACAACATGGTGATTCAACAAGTCTTTTTCTGTATCATTTTAACCATAGTTGTTAAATCTGCCAGGTAATTCCAATGTTTGGAGCTCCCTGTGTCTTAAGCTTGAATTTTTGGAAAAAATGTACTACGCCATTCATTTGGCAAATATTTTTTGAACACCTTTAATGGACTGTTTTAAGTGTTTGGAGTATATACTGTAAACAAAATAATCTTTTCTGAATCTCTTTGGAACCTGGAGTGTTCTGGATGGACATGCTGAATTGCTTTCTTTTTTTCTTTCTGAATTACTTTTTTTTCTTTTTAAGATTTTATTTATTTATTTGACAGAGAGAGAGACAGCGAGAGAGGGAACACAAGCAGGGGGAGCAGGAGAGGGAGAAGCAGGCTCCCCGCTGAGCAGGGAGCCCAATGCGGGGCTCGATCCCAGGACCCTGGGATCATGACCTGAGCCAAAGGCAGACGCTTAACAACTGAGCCACCCAGGCGCCCCCCCTTTCTGAATTAGTCTTAATAGACTGTTGTGAATTGAATTTGCCAGTGTTTTATTTAGAATATTTGTATCAAAATTAAATGGGAACTATTTTTGAACAATATTTTGTTACTAAGTTTGTAACAGTTCACAAATTTTTTTTTATGGTATGGGATGTTTAAATTACATGGGTTGTTGGGGCACCTCAGTGGCTCAGTCGGTTAAATGTATGCTTTCAGCTCAGGTCATGTCTCTGGGTCCTGGGATCGAGTCCCGCATCAGGCTCCCTTCTCAGTGGGGAGTCTGCTTCTCCCTCTGCCCCTCCCCCCATGTGTGTGCGCTTGTTCACTCTCTCAAATAAATAAAATCTTTTAATAAAAAAATAGATTACATGGGTTGTTACTTAATGTTGGCTAGACTTTTAATCCTGAAAACATCTGAAATGGTTTTTTTCCATGGTAGATCTTCAAGATCTTCAATCGATTTTTAAATATTTTTAAATACTATTTCTGGTTATTGGTCTTTGCACTGATTTTCTACCTTTTTCTAAGTCTATTTTGGTAGTTCCTTAATGCTTCGACCCAAAGCATTTGTTTCTTTTGGCATTTCATACAATATTCTCTTTAGGAAAACAAAATACATTTCGTGGAGATGTGAGTGTATCTCCTATATTTTCATAGGTACACGTGACTGTGTCTTAAAGTATCCTTGTATTTATAGTTGTATTTTCTTTAAGTGATTGGCTTTTCTGGTATTTGGTGCCAGAAAAGATAAATGGATTATTTCTCTTCTTGAAGAATCATCTTTGCTCATTTCATTCTTTTAGCTGTCAGTGTTACCTTATCTGCTGTGAGTTAAGCCAAACCACCTTTTATTTTGCTTATATATTTTTTAAAAGATTTTTTATTTATTCATTTGAGAGAGAGCATGGGCAGGGGGAGAGGCAGAGTCTCCCCCGCTGAGCAGGGAGCCCTCCATGGGGCTGGATTCCAGGACCCTGAGATCATGACCTGAGCCCAAGGTAGACACTTAAGTGACTGAGCCACCCAGGTGTCCCTATTTTGCACATATATTTTTTACAGTGTACTTGATATTTGCCCATTATTTTGTTTTCAGATTTTCTTGATCTTGCAAATAACCTGTGACAGGTTTTGTTTTCAAATCAGTTATGTCGGTCATTAGTAAGAAATTCAGCATATTCATATGCCATCTTATAGTTTAGGATTTTTGTTTTACAGTTTTGTTTACTGTATATCCTAGTATAACATCATTAATATTTTGTGTGTTTTACTTTATTTTAGTTTTTGTCATACATTTGCTTCTTTACTTTTTGCACTGCTGGTCAAATTTATTTTCTTTTTTATCTAATTTGATAGATTGCTGCTTTCTAGTTTTGATTATGAAGACATTACTGTTATAATAGAGTCTGTATTTCTGTGTTAACATATCTTTGTTGACTAATGTTTTATCATCAGGATCTTTTGATTGTCCATTTCTTTTTCACCCAAGCTAGAAAAGAAGTCAGAATGATAAACTTCCAAACAAATGCCTTGATTTATGCTCTGGTATTTCAGAATCTTTTGTTTTAGTCTGTTAGTTTTATGAACAGCATATCATCAATTTTATGCCAAAAAGTTAGCATGTATTATAAGTTCCAAAAAGTATTTTTTTTGTCAGTTCATTGAGGTAAGCTGCATATAACTTAAGTGTCAAGCTAGATGAATTTTTATTTGTGTGTGTATATGCGTGCGCATGGGCTCACACACACACAGGCACCCTGCCCCCTTGTAATGACCACCCAGTATCCCAAAAGGTTCTCTGGTACTTCAAGTTCATCTTACTCTGAATCTGTTATCATTGATTAGCTTTGCTTGTATGTCTGGCTTCCACTCAGTATAGTATATGTGAGATTCATCTATTTTGCTGAGTGTATCAGTTTTTCTTTTCTTTTTTTTTTTTTTAAAGATTTTATTTATTTATTTGACAGAGAGAGACACAGCAAGAGACAGAACACAAGCAGGGGGAGTGGGAGAGGGAGAAGCAAGCTCCCCGCTGAGCAGGGAGCCCGATGTGGGGCTCGATCCCAGGACCCCGGGATCATGACCTGAGCCAAAGGCAGATGCTTAACGACTGAGCCACCCAGGCGCCCCAGTTTTTCTTTTTATTGCTATTATGTATTCCATTATGTAACTGTACTACAGTTTTATTTTTCCATTCTGTTGATGGGCTTTTGGACTGTCTGCAGGTTTTGGCTAATAAACAAAACTGCTGTGAACATTTCCTATAGGCCCTTTGTTTGACAAACACTCATTCATGTTGGATATATAACTAGGAGAGGAATTAATACTTACAGCTTTAGTAGAAATTCCCTATTATTATTATTTTACGATTTTATTTATTTGAGAGAGAGAGACAGAGCATGAGCATGAGCAGAGGGGAGAAGACAGAGGGAGAAGCAGACTCCCCACTGAGCAGGGAGCCCAATGCAGGACTCAATCCCAGGACCCTGAGATCATGACCTGAGCTGAAGGCAGACACTTAACCGACTGAGCCACCCAGGTGCCCTAGAAATTCCCTATTATTTTCCCAAAGTATATATACTTACTTACACTCCCACTGGCAAGGTATGAATGTTCCAGTTGCTTCATATTTTGGCCACTATCTTTATTTGGTATTTTCTGACTTTTTCATTTTAGATATCCGAGTGTGTATGTCATTATGGTTATCATGTGAGTTAGGATGGGGGAGGTGGTAGATACTAGGTAGTGGCATGAAGGAGCTTCTCAATTTCAGGTAATGTTTTATTTCTTGATCTGAATGCTGGTTTTATGGGTGTGTTCACTGTGAAAATACATTGAGCCATTTCTTCGCCAAAGTATACTTGTGTGTTGTTTTTGTATATATCTATATTTCAACAAAAATTACAAAAATCACAGAGTTGACAATGACAAATTGTTTATCTGAAGAAGTCTCAAGGATATCATTAAGCTAAACCCAGAAGTCAAAATAAGATTAATTTTTTCATACATGAAGGTCAGAATTCTCCATGTTTCCTTCCTTAATTTTTTTTTTTTTTTAGAGAGAGAGCGCGCACATGCGAGCAGGGGAGGGGCAGAGGGAAAGGGAGAAAGAGAATCTCCGGCCGACTCCCCGTTCAGCGTGGAGCCTGATGCGGGGCTCGATCCCACGACCCTGAGATCATGACATGAGTCAAAATCAAGAGTCAGACGCTTAACCAACTGAGCCACCCAGGCGCCCCTAGGTCGAACACATTCTATATTTCACCATTAAGTGTAATATTTGCCATAGGTATATGTTAAAATCCATTATCACACTGAGGAAATTCCTCTCTAGTTTGCCAAGAGTTTTTTATTTGTTTGTTTTATCATGCTTTTGTGTATATACTCAGGTGATCATCTCATCATCTCTCAGTTTTTAAAACTATTTATTCTTATTTTTATTTCCACCTTCAGGCAATTCCTTCATAGCCTGTTCTTTCTCTGTTATCCAGTTAAGACATGGTATTTCCTCACCTTGCGTTCTTGATTATTTTCAGTCTCTTACTTCTCTGAGAGCCTTCTGATTCATTGTTGGTGACGTCAGACACTACCAAATTATTAATGTTTCTCAAATCCTTATTTTCGTTCTAGACCTACAGTATTATGTTTCACATTTAAGATATATCTTATTAAAATACAGTATTTAATTTATTTTTTCCTTGCTTATTTTGTGATACTTGTGTTTATACAGATGTTTGTACATATACCCTGAGGAAACTTTCTGCCAATAATTGGTGACTGTGTTCTATCACTCTCTTTCCTTTTATCAATTCCCTCTTTGCTTTACAGCTTTTCTTATAGTAGTTTATGTAAATGGTGGTTTTTGTCCGTTAGCTTTCCCTTTACTTTTTTGAGAGAATTGCTTCTATAAATAAAAACCTGGTCACATAATTTTAATATACACTCAGATCTCTTTGGCTCCCCTTTCTTTGAAACAGTGAGCCCTAAAGTAGAGGCAGGCACTCTAGATGATATCCCAAATAATCCATTTGGTATCTTCTATATGTTCTACAGGTATTTCAAGTGTAACAGTTCCAAAATCTTCCCTTCTCATTTTCTACACGTTCTAGTTGTCTCTAAATTGAAGACTTAGAACCTAGAATATGTATTCCAGTGAAATAAAATATTAAGCTGTCTCTTTACTTTTTAAAATTGAGGAAAAAAATTAAAATTTGTCACAAAATATATTGATAGTTTATTTCTATAATTCATAAATATAAACTTCGTTAGTACTCAAAAATATTCTTTAAGGTTGAAAGTGATCACATACTTTGGAGTTTTGGTCTAAAATTACTCTCTCATCCATGACTTTCTTTCTTCATGGCCCTTTCTGTCATCACAGCTCCAGGCTGTATTCTCAGTGTTTTCTGTACTGTTTGCCCTCTGTTCATTTCCCAGATGGTGTTGGAGGTGCCCTGCTTGCTTGTACCATGGCACCGTGTTCATGAAGAGCACAGTATTACTATTTCTCAATCAGCTGTTCTTCAGTGAAGCTCAAAATAGAAATAATTTTGTTCCTCATTTATTTTAGTCTGTCTGCTGTGTACTTTCACCCTAGCAATTATAACATACTACCTCATGTTTTCTTACCAAATTGTATGCTACTTGACTACAAGAATAATTTTATTAATCTTAGCATTTCTAAGAACTAGAATGGTTCCAGATACATTGTGGGATTTGATAATTTTTTACATGAACAATACCTTAAGGCAATGGCATAATATTTTTTTTTTTTAAGATTTTATTTATTTGACAGGGAGAGAGACAGTGAGAGAGAGAACACGAGCAGGGGGAGTGGGAGAGGGAGAAGCAGGCTTCCCGCTGAGCAGGGAGCCCGATGTGGGGCTCGATCCCAGGACCCTGGGATCATGACCTGAGCCGAAGCCAGACACTTAACGACTGAGCCAACCAAGTGCCCCTGGCATAATATTTCTGTTAGGATTTCTCATCTTCCCTCAAAGTGTAAAACCAAACAAATGTTCTGCAAACTATTTTGGTAATCATGGTAAGGATTGGTTCCCATACAGCTTTTTCCATGTCACCCAATTCTGAACATTGCAGATTGAACAGGAATTCCAGGGATCAGTATCATTTAAGGATGTGACTGTGGGCTTCACCCAGGAAGAGTGGCAGCGCCTGGACCCAGCTCAGAGGTCCTTGTATAGAGATGTGATGCTGGAGAACTACAGTAACCTTGTCTCACTGGGTAAGGTCTGTTTTTTTGTAATTCTAAATAGCATGTTTTAATTCTTTTAGTTATGAAGCATGTAGACACTGTAGAGTTCAGTGATTTTTTATATTGGAACCAGGAATCAGTGTTGATCTCTTTTGGGCACCAGGAAGATATTTATGTTTACCTCTCCAGTGAAATGTTCAATAGCTCTTCATCAAGCAGCTCTGGAAGCTTGCTTCTCTTTCAGAGACCCTGCAGGCTAGGCCTTCTGGTTTGAATCCTAAATTGTTTTGCTTTGACAGGGTATTGTGTTACCAAACCAGAGGTGATCTTCAGGCTAGAGCAAGGAGAGGAGCCATGGATATTGGAGGAAGAATTCCCAAGCCAGAGCTTCCCAGGTGAGTTAATCGATACTGCACAGATGAACGTCAGGGGATTTATTATTTTCCCATGATTAATCCAGAGGTTGACAACTTTAAGATGTTTTTTCAAGAATATCTCTTTAGAAGTCTTAATCCTTGGAAGTGACTGGGAATACTGGTTTTTGAACCAAATCTCCAGATACCGTTCTTACAAGAAATGTTCTTTTTGATTCACTTTGTATTTACCATTCTTAATCTGTCAACAGACCAGTCTTTGCCTGCCTCATCTTTACTGTTGTTTTTCTTCATTCCTTTGTTTCTCAAAGCAGTTTTCAGTTGCCTACCTTACCTCCATTGCTCTGCATTCTTGCTGTCATCAGGCTTTCTTTCATATGCTCATTTTTTTATTCAAATAATTTTTGAGTAGTTGCTATTATCTAAATGCTATAGTAGTGAAAGAAATAAGTGTCAATGAGTTTATACAAGTAGCAGTAGTGACCAACAAATATATGAAAACATGGTCAACATTACTAAACATCAGGGAAATGCAAATCAGAACCATACATCACACCATTTAGAATGGCTAGCACCAAGAAGACAAGAGATAACAAGTGTTGGCAAGGATGTGGAGAAAAAGGAGCCCTTGTGCACTGTTGGCAGTGATGTAAATTGGTTCAACTACTATGGACAACAGTATAGAGATTCCTCAAAAAGTAAAATATAGAATTACCCTGTGATCCAACAGTTCCACTTGGGAAGACACCCAAAGGAAATGAAAACAGGTTATCAAAGAGAGAATATGCACGCTGATGTTTATCATAGCAGGATTCACAATAACCAGATATGGAAACAACCTAACTGCCTGTCAGTGAATAAATAGGTAATTAAAATAGATATGTGTAAATAATAGACTATTACTCAGCCATGAGAGAGGAGGACGTTCTGCCACTTGCGAAATGGATGAACCTTGAGTGCATTATGCTAAGTGAGATAAGTCTGACAGAGAAAGGCAAATACCATGTGGTGTCACTTGTATCTGGAATCTAGAAAAGCCAAACTTGTTATAAACACAAGTAACGTGGTTACCAGGGGGTGGGGGATGTGGGAAAAGAGATGTTGTTTAAGGGTAAAAAGTGTAATGAGTAGTACATAAGCCCTAGAGATCTAATATAGCATATAGTGAATATAGACAGTATTGTATTATAATAATCAAGCTTGCTGAGGCACTAGAACTTGATGATTCCAATCACTAATAATAAATGGTAACTATGTAACATAATAGCGGTGCTATTTATTGGTACAGTGGCAATTACATGGCATATAAATGTATCAAATTAACAGGTTGTACACTGTAAATTTATACAGTTATATGTCAAATATAAATTAAAAAGGTAGCACTAAAATCAGATACTTACGTGTATTAAAGCTCTGTAGTGGTAAAAATTATCCTAGAAATGAGAGCAGAGTTAAATGGTGCTACAAGAAGAGTAGTCGGGAAACCTTAAAGAGATCACCATTAGAGCAGAATTTGAATGAAATGATTGTGTGAGCTGTGAGGATCCTGCCTCTTCTCAGCAGGGGTAATAGCAACTGCTAAGCCAATGAGTAGGAATGTGCTTGGTGCTTCTTGGGAAATAGCAAAAAAAGTCACAGTGGCCAAAGGGGAATGATTGATGGGAAGTGGGGGCAGGAAATGATGTCAGGCAGCTATGGTCCAAAAGATGAATATCATAAATCTTACTAAAGATTTTATTTTAATTCTTACTAGTGTATTTTGGTAAACAAGCAACGTCTGATTTATGTTTATAAGATCTTTCTCACCTCTATAGAGAAAATACTGGAAAGAACATAAGTACGTAGAGAGTTCACTAGTAGTTTTCCTGAAGGGCAATTATGGTCATTTAGTCAAAATTGGGGAGACATGGAGGTAATGAGAAGAGGCTGGATTCTCTCTGTATTTGGAATAACTAAAGAACTAACATCTGTATTGGGACTCCTGGGTGGCTTAGTTGGTTAAGCGTCTGCCTTTGGCTCAACTCATGATCCCAGGGTCCTGGGATTGAGCCCTGCATTGGGCTCCCTGCTCAGTGGGGAGTCTGCTTCTCGCCCTTCCTCTCCCTCTGCCCCTCTCCCCCTGCTCATGTTCTCTTTGTTTCTGTCTCAAATAAATAAATAAAATCTTTATAAAAAATTAAAACTAATCATCAGTATCGCCAGGGTAACAAAAAGGGAAGAGATGATGGCATTTGAAGTATTTAAAGGAATAATGATTGAAAACTTCCCAAATTTGGCAAAAGACATAAAATACTCATTGAAGAATCTGAGTGAACTCTAAGTGAGATGAATCCAAAGATATCCATACTAATGGCATGTCGTGATTAAATTTCTGAAAATGAGAAAAAATTTTGAAAGTAGAGAGAAACAACTCATTTCCTTTGGAAATGATAGTGGATTTGTCATCTGAAACCGTGGAGGCTAGAAGGAAATAATACATTTTTTTCCAAGTACTGAAAGAAAAGAACTTTCAAACAAAACTTGTTTAGCTTGTGAAAATATATTCATGAAAGAAGGACAACTGAAGATATCATACAAAGGAAAACAAAGAAAATGTTGTTAGCAAGCTTATCTTTTAAAAACGCCTAGAGGAGTTTCTTTAAATAGAAACGAAATAACATAAGAAAGCTTTGGAACTTCAAAAAGAAAGAACATTGGAAGTAGCAAAAAATAAGGGTAAATATAATAATGGAGTTTCCTTCTCAGGAGTTTCTGAAATCATATTTGATTATTGAAGCAAAATTTAGAATATCATATGATTTGATGCTCTACATGTGGAGGAAATGATATATTTACAAGATAGAATACAGGGATTTAATTGAAATTAAAGTGTTACATTTCCATTGAAGTCAACGGTAAAATGTTGATCTAGGAAGATTGTAATAAATTATATATGTGCACTTTACCTAGAAATGGACTCGAATACCTAGAAGAACCACTAAAAAACTATACAAGGTGGTACACTTAGACATACTGTAAGTAAATGAAGATGGAATCTTTAAAAAGATGTTCAAGTAATCAGTAAGAAAATAAATTAGGAACAGATGAATGAGAAACTGAGAAAACAACAGAAAAATAAAACAGCAGACTTAAACCTTGACATAGTAATATCTACTGTAAATGTAAAAGATCTAAACACACCAATTCAGGTATAGACTGGCAGCCTGGATAAAACAAAAAACATGAGGCAGAAATATGTTATCTACAAAGAAATTCACTTCAAATACAACATAGTGAGGTTAATGGGTGATAGAAAAAGATACACTATGCAAACATTAATGAAAACAAAAACAAGACTGACTCCATTAATATCAGATAAAGTAGTCTTGAGAGCAAAGGAAATTATTAGAGAAAAAACAGTATTCCAACGAAAAAGACTGATCCAAAATGTGACCCCACCAAACAACAGAAAGAACCTTATAGTACACAGATCAAAACTGATTGAGCTGAAAGGAGAAATAAACAAATTTTCAATTATATTTGGGGAATTCAGCACCTTACTCTCAGCAATTGGTAGAACTTCTAGATAGCAGATATAAATTAACAGATATAGAAGAAATGAACAGCACCATCAACCAGCAGGATTGAACGAACATTTGTAGAATACTACCTAAAAACAAGGTATGTATTCTTCTCAAGTGCCTATGGAACATTCAGTGAGATACAACATATCATGGGCCATAAACAAACCTTAGTAAATTTAACAGAACTGAAACCGTGCTATGTTCTCTGAGCACAAGGAAATCAAACTGTGAATCAGTAATAGAAAGTCGGTAGAAAAATATCCAAACCCTTCAGAATTAAACAAGACACATGTAAGTAAAGCGTGAATCAAAGAAGGCTGAAAGGAAATTTTAAAAATACATAGAATTGAATGAAACAGTATACCAATTTATGTGGGAAGCAGCCAAAGCAGTGGTGTTAGGGAAATTTATAGGACTAAATGCTAACGTTGGGTAAGATGAAAGGTCTCAAATCCATAATTAATTTTCTACCTTTAGAGACTGCAAAAGGGCAAAGTAAATCCACAGCAAATAGGAGGAAGAAAATAAAGCAGATATCAATGAGTTGAAAATAGGAAAACAATAGAGAAACCTACTGAAACACAAAGCCAGTTCTTAGGGAAAAAAATCAGTAAAACTTAGTAACCTAGCAGTCTTCAATACACACACACACAACAGACCACCAATATCAGGAAAGAAATGGGGGATATCACTTTGGCATTCATTAACAGGAGGATAATTTAAATGTTATGCTCTTAATTTGATGGTTGAGAAGAGATGGATCAATTCTTTAGAAATTCCAAGCTACCAAAACTCAAGATGACATGGATAATTTGAAGGTTCTGTGGATTTTCATAGATGACATAGATAATTTGAATTAAATTTAATTTAAAATAAAGAGATAAAATCTCTTACGGATGTTTTCACCATAGAAAACTACGAAACGTGTAAACATTTAAGGAGGAATTAATAATGATCTTACACAATGTCCTCCAGAAGAATAGAAAGCATGGAACACTTCCTAACAGGTTTTTTTGTTATCCTGATACCAAAACCATACAATGACAGTACAGGAAACAATAATAAATCTATAGACCTATATCTCCCATAAATTTACTAGCAAAATTCCTTAACAAAATATTAGCAAATAGAAACCAGCCATGTATAAAAAGAACCATGACCAAATGGGATACATACCAGGTATGCGAGAGTGGTTCAACATTAAAAAACCGATCAGTGTAATCCACTATAGGCTAACAAAGATTCTGTTATACATAGAATTGCTTTATTTTCTTTCAGATTGTTTATTGCAGGTATGTAGAAACACACCTGATTTGGGGGTGGTTGTATTATAGCCTGCAACTTGACTGAATTCATACATTACCTATAGTAGCTTTCTTGTAGATTCCTTAGGATGATTAGTAGTTAGGGGGAGCCTTCCTTACTCTTTTTTTAATCTCAAAGGGAGATGGTGACTTT